TTCATTCATTCATTCATTCATTCATTCATTCATTCATTCATTCATTCATTCATTCATTCATTCATTCATTCATTCATTCATTCATTCATTCATTCATTCTGTTTTATCTTTATACCCTCATTCCTCATCAGTAAATTTCAATAAAAACTGAGTCCCATATTTAATCCTAATCTTCTTTCCTAAACCACTTATCAGATTTCTAATTAATTCTTTTATCTTAATTAAATGTGCTGAATCAAAATGAGTGAACCTATTTGGATAGTTTTTTATCTAATGAATAAATCAAAATTAGTGAACCTATTTGGATAGTTCTTTATCTAATGAATAAATCAAAATGAGTGAACCTATTTGGATAGTTCTTTATCTAATGAATAAATCAAAATGAGTGAACCTATTTGGATAGTTCTTTATCTAATGAATAAATCAAAATTAGCGAACCTATTTGGATAGTTTTTTATCTAATGAATAAATCAAAATGAGTGAACCTATTTGGATAGTTTTTTATCTAATGAATAAACTCCTAGTAAAAGAGACTCTTTCTACAATTACCAAAAAGTAATTTGATGTTGGAGTAGTCATAAAAGAATGTTACAGAGTCGCTGCCAGTGATTCACCGGTACAGCAGTTCCGACCGCGAGCTGCTGGGAGTGGCTTGCAGGATAAAAGGAGTTAAAAATTTCCTCATTGTTTGTTTGTTTATGTGTTTGTGTGTGTGTGTGTATTCCAGGGTCCCCGCGGTGTGCAAGGAACCATCGGATACCCCGGCCCTCGTGGTGTGAAGGGAGACTCCGGACAGAGAGGAGGTGCAGGAGAGAAGGGAGATAGAGTGAGTTGTCTTCTCTTTTTCTATAAATAACTTTGAATATCGTGGCAATGGCAGAATGGCGAGGACTGTTGTAGGAACTTGTTTTTCTCTCTCAGCAAGGAAGCATGTAGGCCACTACATCTGTGTGTCTGTCTTTCTGTTTATAAATCTGTGTATTCATATTTCTGTGAGTTTGAGTGCTCAATTTCCCTGATTTTGGGTGAAACCTACCATCTTTCTTGGGTGAAAATGATCAAATTATGTTTCTGAGGTTTTTGATGAACAAAGACCTAAACTTCATTAAAAGACAAAGAATAGAAAATATGCGCGTCGTGGTCGGGAAAAAAAGCCAATTTTCTATTTTTGAACATTGGTGCCGTGAACACTAATTGAAGAACGAGAATGTTATTTTTGTAATATAGCCCATGTTTTAGAATACTTAATGCTACTCATGTGTGAGGAAATAGCATTCAGACTCAAAGGCTGGGATTTTTTACGGTTCTTTTCTTTTTATGGCCAGAATAAGTGTTCTGTTTTTCTTCTTTTTCTTTTTTTTTCTTTTTTGTCTCGTGTCCTGATTTTGGTGCCGATATTTGTAGGTTACGTAGCCTAAATCTGTATTGACATGGTGCAAAATGTTCTGTTTGAAGACAAAAGAAGTATTCTGTTTTCTACTACTGCTCCTGATGGGGCTGCCTGTGCTAAAGAAAAGTTATGACATTTCAAGACAGGATTTGCAAATTATTATGAGAGTGAAGCCCTAAAGTTTGTTGTAGTCGTGTCCTTTGCCGTAATTAATATACTATTGAGCGTGGTTTTATTGAATTCAGAAAACTGTGGGGAAAGGGTTTGGGGGGCGGGGAATTGGCCAATGCCGACCATCTTGACCCACTTAACCTGCTACTCTACATCGGGATTTTCGCACACTGTTTAATTTTTAAAATATTTGACTCATTTTGTTTTTTTATTTTCAATTTGAGTGGCCCAGTGCCATGTGTTCCAATGCAGTGGAGCCCCCTTTAATATTTCAAAAATGGCTTGAACTCACAAATTTCTTTATGAATCATGAAAATTACAAATTCAAGTCACACACGAAAAGAAAAGACAGTAAACTTATACAGTACACCATTTCAAAAACGGTTTGAATTGACAAATTTCTTTAAAAATGAGGAAAATCTTGAAAATCACGAATTCAAGTGGGGCACGAAAAGAAAAGACAGAATGCTTATACAGTCAACCAAAAGTAATGTTTTTTTAACCCTTTGTCTGACTGGGTGGTTGGCGGGTGCTCAGGTGTGGTTTGCTTCTTTTTTCCTATAAAACATCTATCGTCCTTATCTCCCCTCCTTCTTTTTCGTGTTTGTTACTCTCTTGTAACACCTCTAATCTTAAGCACTTGTATGACCTTATTGTGTTGCAAGTGCCGTAAAACTCTTGTACTAAAAGTGAACCCTTTGTCTGGCAGGGCGGTGCCGGTCTTGAGGGAGTTCCCGGAGAGCTTGGCCAGAAGGGAGAAAAGGGACTGCGTGGTCTCAGAGGTCTGCCCGGACCTGAGGGAATTGAGGGACCCAAGGTGAGTACTTTGCTGTTGTGTGTGTGTGTGTGTGTGTATGTGTGGTTGTGTGTGTGTGTGTGTGTGGCTGTTAGTCTTTTTGTATCATATGTGTGTATGTGTGTGTGAGAGTCTTTTTGTATCATATGTGTGTGTGTGTGTGTGTGTGTGTGTGTGTGTGTGTGTGTGTGTGTGTGTGTGTGTGTGTGTGTGTGTCTATCTCTGTCTGCCGTTCTCT